CCGCCTGCTGCAAGAAAAGAAAAGCCTTACTATTTTCATGAATCACAGGTTGGTAAGTCTGGGGTAGTTCACAATGTGATCCAGGTCACGAAGCATAGGGGGTGGGGGCTATACGGGTAGTTCACAATGCATAGGGGGTGGGGGCTATACGGCTAGCTCACGACACAATCCGTGTCACGATGCATAGGGGGTGGGGGTTATACGGGTAGTTCACAATGCGATCCGTGTTATGATGCATAGGGGGTGGGAGTGATGTGGGTAGCTCACGACACACTTCAGCTTTCACGATGCGATACTTATTATACGGTTCATCGGTAAGCCTGCATCTCATTTTGGGGGGTGGTGGCGATATGGGTAGCTCACGACACGATCCGTGTCATGATGCAGCCTTCACGATATAATACGTATCACGATGCAGCCTTCACGATACGATACGTATCACGATGCAGCCTTCATGATACGATACGTATCGCGATACAGCCTTCACGATACATATCGCAATACTTTCAAGAGAAACTACCTAGTTAACTATTCACTCAACCCAAACTCTGCCCGTATCTAATCAAGTATTGCTGCTATCGGCTCACAACTTCTTTGGGGGGTCATACGGTTTTGCCCCTACGCCCTACGTACGTATGTTCACCTTCGACTGTTGTTCTGCGCGAATCGACTTCATGGAATTTTATTAGGGTGGGGGGCACTTAGGCAAGGCAAACCTGATAGGGCAGCTGTGAAGCCATGACGATTCATTGCCTCGGATGTCGTCCAAATATTTTAGGCAAGTGGGGAGGGTTACGCGTCGTCGCGGTGAAGCTCGTGCCCTGCCGCTATCATTGCTGAACACGTGTGTGCGTATTCGCTAGGTAAGATTCTGCACGCTGACCTGCCGCCGGTCATCCTGTGTGAATTGCTGCAGCTGCTGCAGCCCGCCTGCATGAACCTCGACATTGTGCTCATGCTGAAGGGCGACAAGAACAAGTCTTTCATGTGCAAGCTCAATGAATTTGAGAAGCTGGACAAGGAGGTGCAGACGGAGTTTCTTAAGCTGGTGCGTGCATCTCGGTGGATTGATTCTCACGATTGATCGTTACACTTCATTGATTTTCATATCTCGTAATGCTCATGTACTCTAAGGCATACATGACGTCAGTTTTGTGTGATAGAGTAATTGCATCATGGCGTAGATCAGGACTATGATAACCATTAACTAAGATTGACCGTTGGCTAATGAAAGTAACACGTGATTCTGTGAACCCGATGGGATCAGTGTAGCAGCTTTGTTCTTTGCTTGAAATTTACTCACGGGTGATTATTGCTTGGATTATGATTCATGTCAGCTGGTGTTGGTGTATGACATTATGATTAAATAATTGGTGTGTGTTTGTGTATGTGTGCGCGTGCAAGAGTGTGTGCGTGCGTGAGTGCGTGTCAGTGTGTTTGTGCGTGTGCATGCGTGCATTCATATGCGCATATGACAAAAGTAGGTGAAGTTTAAGATTACGCAACCGCACCTCGATCGTGTGCTGCGCTGCATTGCAGATGTCTAACCTCTGCAACTGTAAGTCCGGAGTGAACTGGCTGCTGTCGATCATCGACTGGGAGATGGGAACTCGACAGACCACCAACAGTCAGGTCACCATCCGCGCCACCGTCACCGGGCTGCTGTCGGGATACGAACCTCTGGTTGAGGCTGCCAGCAACTTGGTGCTTCACATTGCGAGATTCCAGGTGTGATGATGGTTGGCGAGACGCAGGTCGCGTGTTGTAGATCTCACGCTAGCTGTGGCTGAGGCTAGTAGCATCTGAGATGGATGCGTTTTCTTACAGTCAGATCTCGCATAAAGATGGCAGTCAGTTCTGTGACGACTTTTCTAATATGGGATTGTCGTTAAACGTATATTGAAATCACATGTTAAAGGCTCTAATCTTTTCCGAATCTGACTGAACTTGGTTTCTTGGCTTCATGTAATTAGAAATTTTTCTGTTGTGAACCGCATCATATCGCTGGCGAAACCAATTGCCGAAAAGCACTGGCAATGATGAAACAACAAAAATTGCAGTTGCATTTTATTGTTCTGTGGTGAGTTGTGCATCTGCCAGGCAGTAAGGTTGCTCTGCACACTGAGGAAATCCACACGCATTGCGGTAGAGACAAAATGTTCTTTGGCTGGAGAAAAATCGCCCTTGTGCAAATAGAAAATTTCCGTTGATACAAATACATCGATATATGAGATCTGCCTGTATTTATATTATTGTAATACGTCTGTATTAATGTAATTCATTCTTTCCCTCCATCACGGTTGCATGCAATAGTTGCTAAAATTTGTTTGTAAATATCCCGGCCTATTATCATCAACATGTATAGAGTAAATGTGTCTATACCCTTGTTCATGATACTATTGATAGTAATTAATGTCACTATACATTGTTTAACATAATACAATGTAATAAGAGAGACGGCGGTGGCAGTGTACTTTGTCAGATATTAATCATCTGTATATATTTTAATTTTTTTAGATGTCCTACTATGAAGACATAGTGGTAGAGATGTCGTTTGCTTTACTTCAGTGCCTAAACTCTGAACTTCCGGAGAAAACTGGTGAGATGCTTCATGTATATAGAAGATTGTTCTTGAGCTAATTAACTTACTAATAATAAACAGATTTGCCCTGTTTTAAGCGGGTAATTGTCATTCTATCAGGTAGGAAATTTTGCATGGTATCTTGTATAAATATAGACAATGAGTTTCGTCTTCAAATGAAACGCGAGTGTATTAGGACACCGTTATCTGCATAATATTGACCGTGTACTAACACAAAACTTGTTTTATCTTTGTAGCGTTCCTCTGCCTGAGTGCTATGATTGGGTTCTTCCACATGAGCAGGGAGGTAAGTGCTGCTGCTGCTTCGTTCTTAAAGGGGTTTGCCACCTTTTTTAGTCATCTGCATTTATCCCTTGTTTTCCACCCCATCAACCTTCTTCCGTCACTATTTCCTGGTAGTTTCTGTTGTGTTTTTTCAGATGTTTTTTCTTTCAACTGCATCTATCTCTTAGTTCTCACTCTGTCAATCTTCTGTGATCCCGTAATTTATTGTATTTCTGATGTTTTTTCAGTCATATTTGTCTATCTCTTGCTTCTCACTCCATCTTCTTCTGTCATTTCCCCACCCACAGTTAATTGTATTGCTGGTGCTTTTTAGATGCCAGGTATCGTCATGTCTGTTGGCGTGAACCTAAAACCGCACATAAACAAGTCAGATCGGTGTGCCGCCCTCGTCGCGAAGATTGAAGCAAGTCTCCTACAGTTCTGAGCACGCTTGCCTTGACAATTCTAGGTAACATTGTACTATTCTTCTGTCTCTCGCCATTTTGCCAATATAAGCCCGAAACTCGCAAACTATACATATCCCTTATTCAACCAGATTGCCGTGTATTCTACAGATTCTGCAGCTGTCCCTGATGCTTCAGGGCATCATGTAATAAGATCGGCGAACATGTAATGTAACATAACCGATAAGTATCGTCGATTATATTCGCTCGCTGTTACTTCGTACTCTCTCTACTCGTACTAGTTAGTTCGTATACTTCTCTTTGCTTTGCGCACAGTCAGCCTTCGGTGATCAGTAACATGGTGTGCCGATAACAGTTGCAATAGTGTAGCGCGCCAGTATGCGCAACCGTGTGTTGTGTGGACAGAATGGGATGGAGACCGGTCCCGTGTCTGTGCAAGTATACATGCAGTACCCATCGTTTCATTCTTGTGCCATTGCCGGTCGGATGTCACTGTACAGGAGTGTTGTTATAGTCGACTGCGCTCTACTCGATCTCGGGCTTTTTATAAAATGACGCGTAACTCGAAGTGCCTCCGTAAATGCTAGTCATGCGAACTGAGAAAGTACGTGTATTTGTGCGTGCGTGTGTGTGTGTGTGTGCCAAATTATGGATTCAGGTTGTTAGGTTGCTGACGTGCAATATTAAGCAGGACCGTGGCCTGCGTAAATTTCTAGGGGAGGGAGGCAAAATTTCCTGATGCAGCCGAGTGATGATGAGGGAGGGGCGCAGCTCCCAGTCAACTGGCATAGTGCGGTGGGTGTGGGCCAGAGAGGAGGGTTTCACGTACGTCTACATGTATTTTTAGGTGACATTTACATTCACAATTTCATTTTAGTTTTCCGCAAAATCTAGAGGGGGTGCAGCTGCCTCCTCCCCCGGGCTACGGCCCTGCAAAGGGGGGTCGTATAGTCCTGTGCAGGCAGATACGTACGTACCTGTAAACATGTCTGATCTCGTGCACACAGGTGATGTGTGCAATGTAGAACTATGTAATTAGTCATCATGGAATAGACTGAAAACCGTGGGTTTCTACCAACAGAGTAACTAAACAGTGGATGATTGAATTATAAAATTGTTCATCTACACGCTGATATTTAAAATCAGTTTTTTTTAGCCAGAATCTATTAATTTACCTGTACTAGCAATGTAACTAGCAAGCATACACGTGAGATGGAGTTTGGTTGTCTATTTGCCACAGGTGGACACATTTTAAAAATGTTTTGCAACACGTGTTGCAATGTTTGTATTTATTTTGACACGTAAACATGGTGAAATTACCCAAAAATCAAATTGACAAGTTTTAGAACTATTTTTGTTAGCAGTATTGTGAGAATTGATTTTTTTATCTGTCATTTTTTAGTGAATGGATTGTTGTCAGTAGCTATAATGACATAGACGTTAGGTGCAACAAAGTAAGCTTAGGAATTTGTAGTCCTTATAATTATTTATTACCATATTTAATGTAGCAAGTATTTATTGTTTGCATGTCTAAATCAGTTCTACCTATACATGTCTAATGCCTACTTAACATAGAAACCTTTGCCATTTACTCAGGCAAATCCTTGTTAGCGATGTGAATAATTCAAGGTATCCCCCATAGCGTCAAAAACGTTAATCATATCATTGAAAAATTGTTGCTATTTTATTAAGGTCGTTACTTATGTAGGAGAGTATCACGGGGAGATGTTTTTTAGCTTGAAGGTTTGTTAGTTTGGATGCACGGCAAACTGTAATATAGGAAGAACCGTACTTAAAGGTAGTGAATGAATAATTGAATGAGAGAGCTGTGCCGGATACGTCTTCTCTGTGTGCTCGTGCGCAACCCTGTGAGACAAATATCTTTCCTTGAATGATCGGTGCTTCTCTCGTTACTGAAATGAATGTGTAATACCAAACGAAATGCAAATAAACTATTAATGTACAAAAGAAAACGTGCATTCTTATATTTCCTGCTTATTTGTGCGATTCATTCTATCAAATAATATCGACAATACATTGCAGGGTGCGAAATTAACAGGAGTCAAAATTTGACAGACGTGCAACCGTAATATCTTTAATTTTGAACCTCAGACTGTGGACTCCCTCATTTTGAGGGTAGGGAGGGTTGGACTCCCGTGTTCAAAAGTTAATTTCTACCACTGACATTGACTTTCATTCAAAAAATTTAATACAATGAATTTACATCTAGTGCCACCAAAAATTCCTAATTGCAAGTAGCAAAATAAAATTACTTTAACAAAAAATGATAGTGTAATGTAAGGCTGGCGGCAGCTTCTACAACAAAATTCTTTTGCATGCACCAAATATATGCTCCATCATAGGTTGAAACTGAATTATTTTTCTGTTTGTTTCTGACTGAAATTCAGAAAACGATAATTGCATCTACACGTACTAGATTATGATGTGAATAAAGTATGAAGTGCACTACATGGCAACAAACGACAGAGGAAAATTATTATGTAACAGTTGAACATTACGCTAGAACATTATCATATAAACATTTAACTATGTAGTATGTACGACCTTCTTCCTCTGTACATACACTGATACACATAATCAGACAACAAGTGTTCTTTGATGCATCTCCTGTAATTGGGTTTCAACATAATAAAAGCTGACAATCGTGACTCCCCCGTACAAACCGCAGCGATTGGAAAAAGCTTTATCTCAATCAAGACATTTTACGTGGAAATAACGTCCAGCTTCGAGACATAATGTAGTCGTAGTTGGGTTGACGCTAATCCACACTTTCACACACAAAACACTCACGCACATGCACCTCGACCACGGCACACAGTGCACATCTCATCTTCTTCTCTCACCAACACCAAACCCGTGGCAAGCAGCATCGCCGAGCCAATTTCACATATATTACAGCCGACAAAGCATT